AATTTGGCCAGAATGGTTTTCTCAACATCAGCACAATGTCAACCTCTGCGGCACCAACTGAGGCCTCCATCCGTCTTTTGCCAGTCTCCTGAAGCTGGTTTCTCGCCACTCTCCTTGCTGGTCCTGAATCCACCCCATCAGGCTTCCCTTGGTGGTGATTATCCCAATATCCTCGGATCTGGAATGAGAGCAAGCCGCTTAGATGAGGGGGTCTCCAACCTTGGCCACTTTAAGTCTGGAGGACTTCAAGTCCCAGAATCCCCCAGCCAGCTTTGCTGGAGGACTTCAACTTCCCTTTGCTTTGCTGACTGGGGAATTCTGGGAGTTGAAGTCCTCCAGGCTTAAAGTGGCTAAGGTTGGAGACCCCTGGTTTAGATGACTCTCTTGGACTTACCATCCATCCTTTTGGCTGAGCTGCAGAACCTTCAAAGATGGTCCATGCTACAGAACACGAGCCTGTGACACCTTGGTTGTCTGGAATGAACCAGGGCTCACTGTTTGCCAAGAACCTTCTTCGAGAGGTCCAAGCGTTGGCTGTTTTAGGCCCTGAAGCTTGTTTTCTTCCTCAGGACCAAAGCTTATCAGCCTCCCCACCCCCCAGGCCTTGCCCTAACACCGGATCGATTGAAGCCCATTACTTCTCCCCTGGACTGCGGCCAGCGACTCCATTACTTGGCATGGAGATGGAAGCAGCCTCAGCCACCGACCCATCAGTGAGCAGCCTCTTCACCCATGGAGATCTTTGGAGGACTCAACAAACGGGGGCGGGGTGGGTGGGTGGAAGGGGGAGGTCACCTAGCTTGATTACTCAGCTCCTTTTTCTTTCCTAATGGTGTCCAGCTCTATCCACATACCTTAAGTGAGTGTTTCTCTTCCTCCCTCCCTCTCTGTCTCTCTCCTTCCCTCCCTCTCCCTCTCTCTCCCTCTCTTCTTTCCCCCTCTCCTCTCTCTCCTTCCCTCCCTCTCCCTTTTTCTCCTTCCCTCTCTCCCTCTCTTCCTTTCTCTTCCCTCCCTCTCCTTCCCTCCCTCCTTTCTTTCCCTCACCCCCCCTCTCTCTCTGTCTCTCTCCTTCCCTCCCTCTCCCTTTCTCTCCCTCTCTTCTTCTCCCCTCTCTCTCCCTCCTTCTCTCTCTCCTTCCTTCCTTTCCTCTCTCCTTCCCTCCCTCCCTCTCCCTTTTTCTCCTTCCCCCTTCCTCTCTTCCTTTCTCTTCCCTCCCTCTCTTTCCCTCCCTCCCTCCCTTCTTTCCCTCCCTCCTTTTCTCCCCTCTCTCCCCCTCCTTCTCTCTCTCCTTCCTTCCCTCCATCCCTTCCTCTCCCCTCCCGCCCTCTCCCTTTTCCTCCTTCCCTCCCTCCCTTTCCCTCCCTCCCTTCTTTCCCTCCCTCCCCCCCCCCTCTCTCTCTCTGTCTCTCTGTGTGTGTGTCTCTCTCTCCCTCCTTACATCGTTCAGGCCCACAGAGGAAGTCAGCACATAAACCAGAACAAATAACTAAACAGAACAAACTGCTGAAGCTTATCCAACTCAATCGGCCGAGCTTCTTCATCAGGCTGGTTGCGTGGAAACATCACGCCTCATCATGTTTCACATTTGCTTAGTGCTGAAGGTCATCTGTGCTCACTCTGGGCTTGTCTCTGGTGATATCCAGCTGGGCAGAGATGTTGATTTTATTTGAGAAGAGACAAAAGCTTTGTTCTGGGCTACCAGAGAAGAAGCCACTCAAGCAGCCGCTAAACCGTTGTATGGGTCTCTCAATCCTTCCACCAATTGGCTACCCCCAAGCCAGTTGAGAAGAAAGAAGAAATGAAGATTTCCTGCTAGCTTCCCATCAAAGACGAACCAAGTCTGGCTTCTTTTTGCTTTTTCTTGATCAGCCAAAGAAGTGAAGTTCTACCACCTTCTGCAGAGAATCAGGCCCTCCATGCCAACCGACTTGGTGCTCCAACCTGGCTGCCTGGTCATCCTTAGCTTGCAACCCAGAGAGTTCTCCACCTCTACCTAATTCATAGCTTGGTCCTCATTCATGGAAATCACATTATGGTCTTGTTAGTCCTTCAGGATGGCTGGTGTTTTTTTTTGCGGTGGAGATGTGGTCGATGGGATTCCCAATCCTCCCCTTGATGCGGATGTTCCTCATCAGGGAAGGAATGTGTAAGAGTTAATGCCTTCCCCTTCTCTATTCCGTCAAGCCTGGTGGTAGTAACTCCCTTGTGAATCATACCACTGGGTCAGTTCTATCAATAGCTGTTATTTAGTCTAACTAAATGAAACCTCCATATTTAGAAGGGTTGGATAGCTTATTAGGAGGGCTGTGGCTTCTTGGAGATTGAGAACATAATGATGCAAGAAGATCATTGACCCCTTAGTTCTTTTTTCAGTCTCCTTTGCTTCTTGGCTTCCTTGTTCAGACAAATTGGATTCTTGCTACATGACAGCCTGGGTGTCATCAGAAATAATTCGGGATCCCCTTCCACAATGTAACTGAATCCCCACCTGCCAAGTCCAGAAATCGTGCCCACTTGGTGAATGCCTGGAAACCCAGCAGATGTTCAGCAAAAATGTGTGGGTTCTTTTCGAAACGGGGAGGGGGAAGGATTGTGGGTCACACAAAATAGTTGGGAAGAGCTTTCCAGGGAGATCGATCTCTCTCTCTCTCTCTCTCTCTCTCTCTCTCTCTCTCTCACACACACACACACACACACACACACACACACACACAGGAATGGTTTTGTGCAGGATATTCATCTGCACCTGCTCCTTTGCAAAGAACTCCGGGCATTTTGCTGGTTTGGATGTTGATGGGAATGACCATCTCAGGGTTGGTCTGGAAAGAATTGCAACTGCTACCCGCTTAAAAAGAAGAGGCAGAGCCAAAGAGGTCTAACTTTTGCAGAGAGTTTGGTCGTCAAACTCCGGACCAATGAAAAAAGGTTGCCCAAAGAGTGTATAGAAAAAACAACAACTGTCTAGTTGGGATGATACTTTAGTCAGTGGTGGTATTCAATTTTTTTTTTAACTACTCGTTCTGTGTGTGTGGCTTGGTGGGCGTGGCAGGAGAAGGATTCTGCCAACTCCCCATTCCCTCCCCACCCCCTAACCTGCTTTCCAGCTCCTTTCTCCTGTGCAAGGCAACCAAAGGAGACCCAGCTGATCAACTGGGACTCAGGAGGCAGAGAATAGATGGGGGTGGGGCCAGTCAGAGGTGGTATTGGCCGGTTCTCCCAACTACTCAAAACTTCTGCTACCAGTTCTCCAGAACTGGTCAGAACCAGCTGAATACCACCTCTGGCTTTGGTGGGATCTACAGAAGCAGTTTTGGAGTTACACTGTCCATTGTGTGTTGTGGGGCAGAACCTTCCAGACTTCCATCCAGATTGAAGATGAGAACTATGGGATATGGTCTGGTTCACTGGAAGGCCTACAGACAAGAAAACACGATGGACCATTCTGGTAGAGAGGTGCCTTCAACAGCTTGAATTCATCCTGAAGAAAGAGGCAAACCTCCTAATTACAGTCATAAGTTGTGGTGTGTGGGAGAAAAAAAGGCTGAGCTGGAAGGCGGGGTCAAGTGTGTCATCAGTTTGGAGTCATTGCATTGTCACAACGAACCTAAATGAATTCCATTGATCCATATCTAGCGCCTATTTAGTTGGCTGTTAGTTGACTGGATTCTTATATTAGAGGTAGAAATAATGAACTTTTCTGTGCTTTGAATTGAACAAATGTCCCTGGTTTTTTTTTTTTTTTGTGCCTGACATGAGGGTCATTAAGTGGCTGACCACTGGACTCTGCAAAATGCCAAGTGCCCAAAATGCGATCGTGTGAATACGGGAAAGGGGAGTGGCCATCAGAACTTTGAAACCTGTGTTATAAGTACCTCCGGGGAGCGTAGAATCAAGCACGGGACATAAAAATAAAACTAATAATCAAGAGTCGCTGCATTTTTTTTGCAGTGAGAACTGGTCAGCCACTTGTCTGAAATGGTCTAGAATTCTCCTGCTTGAGCAGAGGGTTGGTCTAGAAAACCTCTAAGGTCCCTTCCGGGTCTGTTCTGATGGATTGATAGTTACTTATTTGCTGCGCCCTGGAGGAATTTCCATCTCGAAAACCATGAGAGGGATTCCTACAACACCAAAGGGCGCGTTCTTTCTTTATTTAAATTTATACATTTCGGGAGAAAGGAGGAGAAAGGGTTAATCGAGCATAGGTCAAGATAACAGATGACAGAACCATCAATAGTCCTAATTAGCAAAATTCCAGTTATTCCCTTCTCCGTCTACTCTTACTATCCTCAAGAAAGAGTTGTCTTGAAAACGTTTCAGTTGTGTTGCCATGGCAGTTGTGATAAAACGGACTGAGAAGGGAAGATGTCAAGGTTGTGCCAATTAGCATGTAGTCCTTCTGTATTTATATCCGTTATTTATATTCCATTCCTCCAAAGGATTGCTTTTCTTCACATGAGGCCTGTTGAAGTGGGCAACTGTCCTAAGTCAAAGACTGAAAGTGTAGTTCTAACCTACCTGTAGAATTGATTTTCCTCATAGGTTGGATGTGGAGTCAGATGCTGGTGGCAGCCCTGTGAAAGCTAGATAGGTATGGTAAAGGTGTAAAGGTTCCCCTTGCACATCCGTGCTAGTTGTTTCCGGTTCTAGGGGGTGGTGCTCATCTCCATTACAAAACCGAAGAGCCAGTGCTGTCCGAAGACGTCTCCGTGGTCATGTGGCCGGCATGACTAAATACCAAAGGTGCACGGAGCGCTGTTATCTTGCCACCAAAGGGGTCCCTATTTTTCTACTTGCATTTTTTACGTGCCTTCGAACTGCTAGGTTGGTAGAAGCTGGAGTAACGGGAGCTCACTCCCTGACGCGGCGCTGGGGATTCGAACCGTCGAACTGCCGACCTTTCTGAACGACAAGCTCAGCATCTTAGCCACCGAGCATCCCTTAGAGAGGTATGATCGTAGCCTTTAATTCTGTTTCCCCCCCACCCTTTTTGTATCTTCCAGGAGATGCAGAAACAAATGTAGAAGTTTCCGTGCCAGATGTGGTAGAAGCTGAAATTGGGGAAACAGCTGTAATCAACTGCGAGTTCTCCCTCCCAGAGAACAGCAGCCTCGCTTACATCAACTGGTTCTCTGTAAGTCAAAGGGTGGGAAGAATCAGCTTTTTCGGTGGGGAGGCAGAAGAAATTTTGGCTTCCGTGGGGTTCCACCAAAGGTGGAAATATATGGAGGCTTCTGAGTAACACAAGGCTCTGGGGCAGCTGTGCTATCTTATCTCTGCCTCCTGTTTCTGTGGGTTTATCATTTTATCGCTCCGTTTTTTTTTCCTTTGTCTCTTTTTGCAATCCTAACTTTTGCAAATTTTTTCTGGAGTGTAAAAACAGTGTCGGCACCACATTGGTTCCAGAAATAAAGAGCTTTGGGTTGTTGCGAAGTTTTATCTTCGGCTTTTATTGATTTTATTGTCATTTCTTTGATGGTTGTGAGCTGCCCAGAGTCACTCAGAGTCGGGCAGCTTCCAGTTTTTTTTTTTAAAAAAATATTGCTGCTAATTCTGGAAACAGCAAGCAGGAGAATAAAAAAAGGGATGACTTCTGAGCTGTTCTAAATTGTTTGTTTAAAATAAAAATAGCGGGAACTGATCAATTTTAAAGACAGGCTGACTTGTGGAAAACAGACCCTTGGATCGAGAAGTTCAACAGTGCCCCCGTATGACGATTTATTTAAAATGACTCTGGAAGAAAATTCTAGTTTTATAGAAGTTTCGTTACGCTCAGCTTGATTCATTTTGCAAGCTGACTTCCAAAGAAGGTCAAAATAAATACGTTGGGTTTTTGTTTTTTGTTTTAAATAGAATTGTTCTGGGTTATAATGCAGTTTTAGGATTAGCCTCTTGTTCAAATGGAATGCAATTACAAATAGTTCTCAACTTATGAGCACCATTGGAACCAGAGTTTGGGTTGCTAAGCGAGGCAGTTCTTAAGTGAATCAAATGGTTGTTAAGTGAATTCAATTTCCCTTTTTTGATGTCAGGATTCCAGCAATCGCTCTAATTAAATATGAGTCTTGAGCCAAACTTCAAAAAACTTCAAAGGATTTATTAGAGGTAACATACAGGCATGACCTGTATGAAGTCAACTCTGGCGTAGGTAATTTACAGTCCCCTGTGACCCTGTTTCCCCTCCCCTTCCTCTCCCCTGGGTGTGTCATAAATCAGATTCTCCAATTGAGCACATCACGGGCTGGGTGTCATCAATCACGTTCTCCAGTTAAATATATTCCCAGGCAAAAGCTCTGGTAGCTTTCTAAGGTAAGAGTTGGAATGTACTTCAGATTTCAAACTGACTTGAAACTTGGCTTGTCAGAAGGTTGCAAAGAGTGAACACGAGACCCTTGTAAATGCACACCTGTTGCTAAGCATTTTGATTTTGATCACATGACCATGGAGATATTGTGATGGTCATAAGTGCAAGGACCGTTGTAAGTCACTTTTTCCATCCTGGGGTGATTTCAAATGGTCACTAGACAAATGGTTGCACATTGAGAACTTCGTATAGGTGTGTTTGAAAATCCCATGTCAATTTCCCAGCAATGTCATCTGGCTTGGCTTGGAAAAAATGCAACTAATTCATCTTGGGGTGGCCCAATATTTCCAACCATGAATGGGGTTGATGCTCTTGCATCTTCTTAGTCGCTCAATCTTGGCTTGGATACAACAGTGTAATTCTTCCCAGCCATCACTGGATGGACTCCAGGTCTTGATTCTTGGGCTTCAGGTGGAGAAGACAATCCCCCAGGAGAATAGGAGTTGGCATAAAATGGCCCACCTCCAGAGGAGCCTATAGGTTATGATCCAGATGCTGCAAACAGTTGGTGCCCATAAAAATCAGAGTGAACCACTATGGTGGTTGATGTCTTGACTGTTTTACCTGTTCTTTGTGGACCTTCTGTGAGTCGTCTCTGTCCTGAACCTCTCCCCTTTCTTGGACTCTTCAGGGGGAAAACATTGCACGGAAGAGAATCATCTCCTTGCTCCAAGACAAAGAAGACTGGGAAGACGACCAGTACAGAGATCGTCTGAACATCGCCAAGAATTTCTCCCTCGTCATCAAGAAGGTCACTCCACAAGATGCCAAGTTCTACATCTGCCAAGTGGGACTTGGCAGTGTCGGCGTTGGTGAGAACCGGACCAAGCTGCAGGTCTCAAGTGAGTGGTCCCAGCCACACTTAATCCAGATCTCAAGTTTGCAAGGAAGGTCCAAGCAGGGATGAGATTCAGACGGTTTGGACCGGTTTGAGCGAACTGGTTGTTAATTTAACATCTGGTTCACTGAACTAGTAGTTAAATTGGCTGGCTGGCTGGCTGGCCCCGCCCACCCTGCTGGCCCCCTCTCAGGAGTCTCCATGACACCCATTTTGGATGCCAGGTAAATGCAGGGCCTGCGTTAAGGCTCTGGGAAGGTGAAAAATTGGGCCTCCTGGAAGTTCAGAAATGGGCCTGTTTCCAGCCTCCGGAGCCTGGGGGAGGCTGTTTTTGCTCTCCTGGAGACTTGAGGAAAGCCTCTGGAGCCCGGGGAGGATGAAATTTCCTCCCCCCCCCCCCATGGTGCAGGAGGCCAATTGGGCCACGCCCACCATGGCCACACTCACCCAGCCACCGGGCAGAGAACTGGTTGCTGAAATTTTTGAATCCCACCCCTGGGTCCAAGCGATGGAAAGCATCTTCCTTCAGCCACCCAACCTGACCTCTGTCTTGGTTCTTTTTTCTTCCAGAAGCCCCGGAACCCCCTGAGATTCAGCTGGCAAAAGATGGATTCCGAGCCGCTGAGCCCACCCTTCAAGAGGTAGGGATCGCTCTGGGTCACCTGGATGTTACCTTTAGGAGCCCTGCGCGGTGCTTCATCCCCAAATTTGGACCTCTTGTCTGGTCCATCCCCGGCTCCGAAGGCATCCAGCTTCTCTTTGAAAGATGCAAGCGGAGCAGGAAGGAAAGTCAAATTAAAAAATTAAGGTGATGATTGCGCGATGGCCCACTTTTTCATTCCATTTTTTGTAATGGGGGTGCAAAGCTGCGAAGCCATTCAGGTTTCGCATTTCCTGACGTTCTGCCTTTTTTCTTTTTAATTTCTCACCTGGGAGAAGAGCTACAGCATAAATAAGGAGTTGATATAGGCTGTACAAACTGTATGGAAATGGAATTAGATTTTGATTTGATTTAGATTAGGAATGTCCAGCCTCTGCAACTTTAAGACTTGTGGACTTCAGCTCCCAGAATTCCCCAGCCAGCCGTGCTCGGTGGGGAATTCTGGGAACTGAAGCCCACAAGTCTTAAAGCTGCCAAGGTTGGACATCCCTGCCTTCTATGATGGTTTGCTAAGGGTAGACTTGCCCAATCTTTTCCACCTTAGCTCTCTAAAGGATGTATTTATCTCCAACTTGGGAATTTGAACCCTGCGCCCATATTAACATCTGAGCTGTTCACTTCTAAAGAGCTGCAAGGACTGATCTTGTCTGTGTTTCTATTATTCAGATAGCAACTTGTACCGCCCGCAACAGCTTTCCAGCTCCAAGCATCGTATGGTACAAGAACAGGGAAGCCCTGCGCCCCAAAGATGAAGGTAGGTCCTTCTGTTGGTGTTCTTCAAAGGTTCACCTCAGATGTGGAGTCAGAAAAGGGCTCACAAGCCCCTTTGGGATCGCTTCAGTGTGACCAAACAAACAGCATTCTTGAATTACAACCATGTTTTCTCCACGTTCCATCTCCAGCTTAGTTATCTTGGAACAAGGCTGATCTCATTATTTTTTCCTTTTTTTTATCCCCCACCCCCCCTCCACCAGAAACAGCGATCCATGCCACAGTCATCACGGAATCCAGTGGGCTGATCACCATCCGCAGCATGCTTTCGGCCCGAGTCGCCAAAGAGGATCGCGAGGCCCAGTTTCATTGCCAAGTCAACTATACCCTGATGGGGACAAACAAGACCGCCGTGTCAGAGAGCTTCCGCATCAACGTTTTGTGTAAGTCCGGGCTCCGCAGTTGGGTTGGGTTGTGTACATAGGAGACTGCGGGTGATCACTCTGGCAATTCGTGTAGGTAGTCCTCAACTTATAACTACAATAGGGACCACACAGGGTGGGGTTCAAAAATCCCAGCAATCAGTTTGCTACCCAGTTGCTGGTGGGTGTGGCCATGGTGGGCGTGGCCTACTAGAACTTCTGGGAGGGCTGTTTTTCACTTTCCCCAGAGTCCGGAGGCTTCCCTCGGGCCTCTGGGAGGGCAAAAATGGCCTCCCCCAGGTTCTGGAAACCAGAAACAGGCCCGTTTCTGGATTTCTGGAACTTCCCATTTGGCCCATTTTTCGGCCTCTCAGAGCCTCTGCACTGACCCTGCACTTACCTGCGTCCAAAATGGGCCACGTGGAGACTCCTGGGAGGGAAGAGGTGGGGTGGGTGGGATCAGCCGGTCGGTTTAAAAACTGGTTCGGTGAACCAGATGTAAATTTAACATCCGGTTCACCTGAACCAGCTGAATCGCCTGGTTTTGCTCTGCTTCTCTTGTAGATGCCACCCAAAACCTCAGTTTTACGCTGGACCAATTGAACCAGGAGTTGAAGGAAGGAGACAACGTGACCTTAATCTGCGAAGGCGATGGGAATCCACCTCCTGCATACACTTTTTTCAAGAATGAGGTGAGCCTCTTGTCCCTGGATCCCGTTCCGACTTCCCCATTTATCTTGCTAAACCATGGAATGACTATCTATAAGCAAAGATTGTACGAATGCACCCTTCCCAGCTTGAAGGAACTGCTTATACTACGCAGTGGCGCAGTGGTTAGAGCGCAGTACTGCAGGTACTTCTGCTGGCTGCTGGCTGCCTGCAATGTGGCAGTTTGAATCTCACCTGCACACTCGAAGACCAGCTAGCTGGCATGGATGTGTGTACCAGAACTGGAAGAGCAACGGACGATGGCTGGCGTGCCTGGAAAGATGGCTCTGGATGCTACTTCCGGCATGCGTGGCATAGGTTCGCCATCATAGTGATAGAGAGGTTATAGATGGATGGATGGATGGATAGATAGATGGACGGACAGACAGACATGTTAAATGTTTATGCTGTCCATCTCCCTGTCCAGTGACTCTGGATGGCTTTAAAATGTCATAGAAACAGAGCTACAAACATTAAAACATTAAACATGAAATAAATAAAACTTAACTAAGTTAAAACCCAGAATGCTGAGGGGTGAAGGTGGCACCTCCTTCCTTCCTAGTTCACCAACCCCTTCTCTTGTCCCAAACAGGACACCCAGTACTCGCCCCCAGATGGGAAGCTGTTCTTTCCCAGCGTCATGAGAAACGACAGTGGTGTCTATTCGTGCAAAGCCCTGGATTTGCACACCCTCGCTGAACTAAGCGCTTCGGTGGATCTGATGGTAAACTGTGAGTTGCTGTCCTGGCGCTTGTTTCTGATTTCATAGGACAGGGACGAAGCGAGTTTCCTGCCAGGAACTTCCAGTTCCAATTCCAAATTGTGCCCCTTCCTTTGCGCAGAGATAAGACCCTGCTGGGATTGCAAGAAGGTTGCCGTCGGCCAGGGGTCCCCAAACTTGGCAACTTTAAGACTTGTGGACTTCGACTCCCAGAATTCTGGGAGTCGAAGTCCACAAGTCTTTTTTTTTTAAATAAACCTTTATTGAAGAATTAAAACATTAAAATACAGAATACAATATGAATATTTAAAATAAAAGTGTTATATATGTTACAATCTATTTTGACAGTGCTTGCATTTCAATTGTTATTCCAGTACATATTTTCTACTCCTATTTGTTCTTATATATACATCTTTATCATTCTATGTTATACGTTCCTTATTTATTTATCTATTTATTTCATTTATCCAATGGTGCCAATTTTCCCATACTGTATAAAAAAACTGTTGTCCTTCTCTTTGAATTCTAATGAAAGTTTCTCCATTTCCGCGCAGTCAAAGATCTTTTGGATAACTAGATTATCCGTCGGCCTTGAATCTCCTTTCCAACATTGTGCGAGTGCTAATCTCGCTGCTGTTGTTAATACGCAGGTTTAAAAAGAAAAAAGAAATGAAGTCTACAAGTCTTGAAAGTTGCCAAGTTTGGAGACCTCTTGTAGGCTGAGAACATTTGCAAAGTCTCTTAACAAAAGATTAGGCTCGGGGTTAAAGCTGTTTCTCTCCTCCAGACCTCGACGTGCCCACCATCTTCTCAGTTGGACCCCAGGAACCAATGGAAGGAGAAGACCTGGTCCTGACCTGCTCCACCACAGGATCGGGACCCTTGAAATACCAATGGAAGAAGGTACTTTCGGTGGAGGTGGTGCCCAGTGGGGGTGGGTAGACAACTTTGAGGCAAAGGTGGGCCGTTGTTGACATTCATGGGGCGGGGAGGGGGGCAAAGGTGATAGGGGCAGGGCAAGGATGCAAGATAAGGTGAGCTTCACCTTGTGGAAGACCGGTGGAGGTGGTGGGTTGGAAAAAGAGAGAGAGAGTCAAAATTTTCAGGCGGGATGGAACTGAAAAGGCTAAGGAAAGGGGACCACAGGTTGATTTATTTTTCATCCCAGAAAGGGAAGCACATCGGAGACGGTGCGGTTCTGAACTTGACTTCCATCACCTATGAGAAAATGGGCAATTACACCTGCGTGGTGACAATGCCTGACTTCCCAGGTTGGGTGCGTTCCCGGCACGTTATTATTGCTGTTCGAGGTAGGCACGGTGGGGCACCCCGTAGCCCTCGTCCTCTTCTCCTTGGAGCACTCCTAAGACCATCAGGCAGCGCCCAACATCTGCTCTTCTGTCTCCCCTCGCAGCAAAGCCACAGAAGGTGCCCGTGGAGCAGAACCTGAGCGTCCAGGAAGGGGAGGTGGTGGATTTGACCTGCACCTTCTACTCGGTGCCTCGGATGAACATCTCCTGGAGTACAAGCAACGGCACGGTAAATAGGACTAGTCCTTAGACTTGTGTACCGCTTGATGGTGCTTTTACGGCTCTCTCTGAGCAGTTTACAGAGTTGGCCTCTCGCCTCCCCAAACAATCTGGGTCCTCGTTTTAATCGACCTCGGAAAGTGATTGTGTGGGGCACTGCAAATGGCCCTTAATGTATGTGAAAAAGATGTTGAGACTCTGGAAAGAGTGCAGAGAAGAGCAACCGGGAGGATTTGGGGACTGGAGGCTAAAATGTATAAAGAACAGTTGCAGGAACTGGGTATGTCTGGTCTGATGAAAAGAAGGACTAGGGCAGACAGGATAGCAGTCTTCCAATATCTCAGGGGCTGCCCCAAAGAAGAGGGAGTCAAGCTATTCTCCAAAGCACCTGAGGGCAGGACAAGAAGCAACAGATGGAAAGTAATCAAGGAGAGAAGCAACTTAGAACTAAGGAGAAATTTCCTAACAGTGAGAACAATTAACCAGTGGTACAACTTGCCTCCAGAAGTTTGTGAATGCTCCAACACTGGAGGTTTTTAAGAAGAGGCTGGACAACCATTTGTTTGAAGTCGGGTAGGGTTTCCTGACTAAGCAGGGGGTCAGACTAGAAGACCTCCAAGGTCCCTTCCAACTCTGTTGTTCTATTATATTCTAAATACGGTCTGGTTGTGGAGTCGTCCAAAAAGCAGTCACATGACCATGGGGCGGGGGGCAGTGACCTCAGAACTTCAAAACTGGGTTGCAAGTCTGTTGAAATTTCGAATGGTCGCTAGGGAACGATCATAAATCAAGGACTATGTCAAACTTGCCTTCTGGGACAGCTGGTCATAATTTCTTGCCTTTTTCCTATTTAAAGATAATAACCATCTCATCCATATTGAATTCCTCTCAACAACACAGGAACCCTTCCATCTTTTTTTGTTTTTTTAAAGGTACATACGTCCAGACGGAAATACTACTACAACAGCACTCTCTCCGTGCTGGTCACCAAGGAAATCCTTACATCGGGTCTCAACTGCACTGGTGAAAATGAGTTGGGGTCAGAGAATCAACACTTCCCACTCTGTAAGTGGTTCCCCACACTCCCTTCCCCTCTCCCCTCTGTGAGAAAAACCATTTGCAAATTATTTCCTAATCCGGCTTGTAAGGAATTCATGTTCTGGAGCAGCGGTCGCCAATTGGTTGGCTGTGGGCCGCCAGAAAATTTTGGTGGTCCACAGAGAAATGTCCCCCACCCCAAAGCAATTAATCCAGGCTACGCGGGAACACAAGGCTGCGCCACCCACAGGGCCCGCCCACCCGCTGGCCCCCACCCTTCACGTAAACCTTGAGTAGAGCCACGCGAGCTGGAACTGAAAGGTGAGACCAATGCCAGAGGAGGCAAATCCACCCCGGAGTGGCTTGCTGACATTGGTGGGAAAGTCGGTCCCATATTCCAGAGCTGCAGGAGTCATCCCGGAGCAGCTCCTCCACCCGGGTGCACTGGCCTACCATGGAGGAGCTGCTCCAGGATGACCAAAGGGCCAGTCCTGTGACTCCTGCAGCTCTGGAATATGGGACCGACTTCCCCACCAACGTCAGCAAGCCACCATCAGTCAAAATTCGTATTAGTGGTCCGTGGGATTTAAAATGATGAGTTTGGTGGTCCCTGAGGTCCAAAATGTTGGCAATCCCTGTTCTAGAGCCAGGGTGTTCCAACCTTGGCCACTTTTAAGACCTGTGGACTTCAATTCCCAGAATTCCCCAACCAGCCATGCCACCTGCCATCATACATTCTGCCATCATATGTTCTGGCTGGGGAATTCTGGGAGTTGAAGTCCACAGGTTTTAAAAGTTGCCAAGTTGGACACACCTGCCATACCTTCTGGCTGGGGAATTCTGGGAGTTGAAGTCCACAAGTCTTAAAAAGTTGCCATGGTTGGACACTCCAGTTCTAGAGCATGTACAGACTGCTAGAAGCACCTCCAGCTTTCCAAAGTAAAATCCAGTTTCAAGAAATGGCTGGAATCTCGCATGAACTCGCAAAATTTCAAGGGGTGAGAAAGGAGGAGGACCAGGATACTTTGTTCAGCCCCAGATTCGTTCCTGGGTTGTTGTTTTTAATCCCACCTTTTGTGTTATTCCACCCAAAATTTGCAACCTCTCCTTCCTGAATCAGTCAAAAGGCATTTCCCCAAATGAACTCATTCCTCGGAGTTTATACATGAGGTTGTAACATCAGCAAAGGAAATACACCGACTTGAACTCATGTGCCGAAGCAGAAAAGAAACCCAAAGCAAACAAGGTTCACAGCAGGGGTCTCCAACCGTGGCAACTTTAAGGTTTGCGGACTTCAACTCCCAGAATTCTGGGAACTGAAGTCCACAAGTCTTAAAGTTGTCAAGGTTGGGGACTGCTGGTTCAAAGGGTTTGCAAGTGGGGCCCCTCCGGAGGTCTTGACGGCTCGAAAAGTTTACTCAACGTGTCTTTTCTTCTTTTTAAGGGCTGAAAACCAAAGTCCGTTCCGAAAAACCGGGTAAGTGCTTCCTTGTTAGCCACCATAAAAAAAAATAAAAGCATTGCAGCAGGAACTTCATTTCAGCTACCTGCTGGGCTTTGGGGGGCACCTTCCCTGTTGCAGATACCCTTTTGTCACTCACAAAAGAGGCCTTTGTGCAGAATTTTGCATGCTGGCTGGGTAATTCTGGGACTTGAAATCCACGTAAGTTGCCGAGGTTGAAGAAATATTGCAGGAAATTCCTCAACCTACAACCATAAAGAATCCTGCTGATCAAGGTCAAAAGTCACGCCTGTTATAAAAAGAGATCAGGCGACTAATCCGATTCAGTGACCGTTTTTGAGGCAGTCACTAAGCAAACACCATAGTTACAAAGTGGAGATGGCAGGTGTGATGTTTGTTAAGCGAACCAGGAGTTTGCGGTGGGCCACTTTTGCCAAAGACTGGAAACCAGTGCTGGTTTTCGGCGAATCCATTGTTAAGACACAGTTGCACGACTGGGGGATGCTGTAGATGCAGGCCAGTTGCCATGTGCCCATCATGCAGTCACATGTTGAGGTGGGTTGGCTGTCGGAGTGTTGGAACCAGGTCATAAGTATCCCGGGGGGTGGGGGAGGGGGGTCTGGCATAATTTTGGATGGTCGTTAAGCGACTTGAAGACTTTCTGTACTCTACACCAGCGGTCCCCAAACTTCCAGCTTGGTAGCCTGGCATGAGTGGCTAGCAGATGTGCGCGCACAGCTCCATTTGTGAGTGGCACATGCATACCCTCCACTTACGCGAATGGAACTTCGTGCGCGAGTGGAGGGCGCTTGCAGTCACACGTGAAGCTCCACAGGCAGCTGCGCTCGTGCACGAAGCCCCATTAACCCTAACCCAGTAGTGGGACCCAGGGGTGGGATTCAAATATTTTTACTACCGGTTCTGTGGGTGCGGCTTGGTGGGCGTGGCAGGGGGAAGGATACTGTAAAATCTCTAGTCAGAGGTGGGATTTGCCGGTTCTCTGAACTACTCCAAATTTCCGCTACCGGTTCTCCAGAACTGGTCAGAACCCGCTGAATGCCACCTCTGGTGTGGGACCCCTGCTCTAGACTCAAAGCCTGATCTCTTCATGACCCGGCTGGAGTCGATCTATGCCAGTGTTGCAATTGATACAACTTCAATGCCGTGTCACTGGCAAGAATCCCATCCGGCTGCCTGTTTTGGGGAGGTTCTCCAACCCACCCTGGGACATATGATACGGCTTTACTCTGTGCCGAGCCACCCCAACCCAGAGCTGGTGCAGGAGACCTGAGCAAGGCTCCTTTCCCAAATGCAGGCCCTAGTTCTTATGTCACGCAGAACCCTGCCAAGAGCAGCCATTCCGTTCCATCTCCGCCATTTTTTTCCAGCAGAGACCAGAGCGCAGGAGAGCAAAGGAGTGATCATTGTAGCCGTCATCGTCTTCCTGCTGGTCTTCGCCGTCCTGGGGGCCGTCCTTTACTTCCTGCACAAGAAAGGCAAGCTGGCTTGCGGGCGCTCCGGCAAACAAGAAATGTAAGTCGGGAGCGTTTCCTGGGACGTTCCCCTTTGCCCCTCTGCCTGAGTCCACACACTTCCCAGTCTCATTGCACCCAACAATAGACGTCTTGTGAATGCAGGAGAAAGGGTGGGTGGGTGGGTGGGTGGCTTGATCAGCTTCTGCTCCCCTTGTCACCCGCCCCTTCCCCCAAAGCAGCAATCGGGAACCTCCATCTTCTGCTTAATCCCGAATGGCCTGTGGGGATGGCCTTGGCACAGGAGGGAAAGTCACAGCCTACACAACGCTCACCCCAAAGTGGGAAGCATTTATCAGAGAGAAAGAGGAAAGTAGAGGAATACTTTCAGACTTACAAAACCGATGATAGCCCTTCAAAGTTGTCCAGACAAGAAGCACCAACCATGCGTACAACCTTTATTGTAAGATTAGCGCAAGAGAATAGCAATAGCACTTATATACCGCTTCACAGTGCTTTACAGCTCTAAGTGGTTTACACAGTCAGCCTATTGCCCCCAACAATCTGGGTTCCTCATTTTACCGACCTCAAGATGGATGGAAGGCTGGGTCAACTTTGAGAATCTTACAAGTCTGAAAGCAAAGCACTTTCCAATGCTTCTTACAGTTTTAATTTCCCCAAAACTAGAAATGCTTCCCACCTGTTTCTGTTTCTGTGGACTCGGATATCTTTTGCACCACAGTTGTTTGGTCTGCAGCTCTTCCTCCTTCCGTCTCCCAAGGCCGTTCCCACAGGCCTTTACATAACCTAATTCAGCAAAAGTGTCTTGTGGGCCTTTTCCGCCTGGGTTAAGCAGTTCCGCTTTCTCATGCAAGAAATGGGAAGCAGAAACAAAGGTGGCCGTTCCACTCCCGTTGCAACCCCCTTCCCTTGCATGCCCCCTCCCCTTGCAACCCCCTTCCCCAGAGCCCCATTTGGATCTGTCTCAACACTGTCACACTCCTCCCTCCTCCTCCTCCTCAGCACGAGGCCCGAAGCACATAAAGACGAGATTGTAGTTGAAGTAAAATCAGATAAACTTCCTGAAGAGGCAGGCCTTCTGCAGGGTGCCAACGGTGAGAAGAGATCGCCAGGTGACCAGGTAGGCAGCTCCTGCAACTGGAAGGGGGTTGGTGGGGGGTTTGCTTTCCTGCATTGCCCACCTTTCATGTACCGGGGCGGGGCAACTTTCATCTATCCTCCCTCCAGATCAGTGGCACCCTTTGGGGTGCAGATGGGCTGTCAGCAAACATTTCCTTCTTAGTGGATGGCACCCCCTCTTCTCGTCCTTGGCCAAATCAGTGGCCTTCGGATGTCGACTTATTTATTCACTATTTATTTATTTGCCGCCCATCTCGCTAACAAAGCGACTCTGGACAGCTTACAGCATTAAAAGAACATTAAAACCATCAACAATAAAAATTCCTAACCCAATCAAATGACAATGCCCATCAAGGTACAATCTTGCCCCATTTATCAAGAGACTCAAACACCTAATTTTCTAGTGCAGCTCGCTTTAGTTGCATCGAGGCTTGGGTGATACTGGTCAATTTAATACATATTTAATGCCTCCAGAAGTTGTACAGGCTCCAACACTGTAAGTTTTAAAGAAGCCATTGGACAACCCTTTGTCTGAAATGTTTTAGGGTTTCCTGCCTGAGCAGGTGGGTTGGACTAGAAGACCTCCAAGGCCCCTTCCAACTCTGTTTCTATTCTATTCTATTCTACATGTCCATTGCTAAGCAAGGCAATTGAGCTGCCAATTTCAGGACCGTTTTGGCCAGTTCTAAGTGAATCACTGCAGTGGTTAAGTCATTAAGCGAACCCCGCTGGCTTCGCTTGTTGGGATCCAGCTGGGAAAGTCACAAATGATCGTCCAGGACGCTGCAACTGGTGTCAATAGATGCCGATCACCGTGCCTGAATTTTTATCACAGCTACGATGATGGTTGTGAGCGTGAAAACTGGTTGGAAGTCACTTGCTTCAGCACCATTGCGACTTCGAAGGGAGCTTAAACGGATGGTTGTTATGGACCATCTGTATAGAGTGCAAGCCACTGTTCTCCTTCAGCATCTAGCCCAGGTTTTCACAACCTTGGCAACTTTTAAAGCTTGTGGGTTTCAGCTCCCCAGAATCCCCTGATTCTATCAGGCTAGCTAGGCCATTCTGGGAGCTGGAAGCCCACACGTCCTAAAAAGTCACCCAAGTTGAGCAATACTATTCTCGCCCGATCTCTGTTTGGGGTCCGCAGTGTTTTTCCCGACCGTCCCATTGACAAGACGCCGAGCCTGCAGGCAGGATCTTTCCTGTGCAGCCACAAAATAGGTCTTTCCCCCCAAAGCCCTACTTTTCTGCAGTCCAGGTGCTTCACCCTGGCACCTAGCCTGGTTGAGGTTCCCAGGACAGGTTGAAGAAAAACTCGCTGGCTTTTTCTCTCCTTTTTTGCAGGGGTGTGTGTGTGGGGGGGGGTTTCTTTTAGGGTTGTGGCATGGGAATCCAGGCCGTTTGGTTTCTTTACCCTACAGGGTGCAAACGCAGGTTTGACGTTAGAGCAGGAAACAGGTTAAAGTCCGTCCCGCAGACGTGCCTCGCTTCAGCATCTCCCTGGACTGCAGCTTCACTGTTTCTTTTGAACCCAGAGCCGGCTTGGCCCCTTCTCTCCTCTCCTTGGCCAGTGAAGGAAGAGCGGGTCGTTTTTTCAAGAGTCCCCCAAAATATCCAGCATGTGTTGTTGTTGTTGATTTTTGGCCCTGCCTTGAAGCTTCTCACTCGCTTCCGTTCACACAACTGCCTCCCTTGTGCTAGCCACCTAAGAAATGGGTCAATTGGGATTTTTCTTTAAAAAAAATTAAAAAGGCATGCTTTTTTCTGGATCCTAACGCAAGATCTTCCTCTCTTGGCTCTCAAAAGGGAGAGAAATACATCGATCTGAGGAACTGAAGAGAGAGAACCGGCCGTTTTCTTCGAATTTTTCTCCTGCCCCTCCCTCTTAAAACAGTCCACCCCCATACTCCATCATTCAAACACGCAAGTAACCAACATCGCACGGAAAGAAAGCAGTATGGGACACTTTGCAGTCTTGCCTTCTTCTGTCTTTTCAAAGGGGTTATGATTTTTCAAAGAGGACGACAAGGAAAGGTGATTTGAGGCACTGTAATTTCACATTTGTGTTAAGAGGAAGGTGGGCAGGCAGATCCGTGCTGTTCTGTGTATGTTGTTGTATGTGTTTGCATTCCGGGTTTTACAAAAGAAGGGAACAAAAAGGTTTAAGTTGGCACAATTGAATACTGGCCAAGCCAGTCAGTTCAGAATGAAAACTTACTATGCTGTTCTTTTTAACGCCCAATTTGTAAGTCTGAAGCACAGGATAATGTGTTAAGAAGCTTGGTTCCCAGTTAGGGATGTAAATTGAAATGTTCGTTTAAAAAGCATGTCCAAGATGGAGAATGGTTGAAGTTGAACCGAAGACGTCGCGTCTCAAAAGTGAAAAAGGAAGAAGCACATTTGAAGTTTTTGTTTTAAGGACACTCGCTGGGGAATTTGTTCGGTGAATATGTGAAATGTTCTTTCCATGGCTCTTACTTAGGATAGGAACGAGGCAATGCTTTTCAAACTTGGCAACTTTTAAGAACTCTGAAAGTGGAAGCCCGCACGTCCTAAAGTCGCCAAGTTTGAAAAATGCCGGAATACGGAAATTATTTTTTTTTTTTTGTACAAACTGTACAGTGACATACTCATATCAGAAATCTCCAGCTAGTCCCCTCTTCCCTCCAGCCGCAACAAAATCCATGTTCAAGTCCGCAGTTCCTGCCATACTTTTTGCTAAGGCAGCTGGGCGGTGCCCACTTCTCCCTCGGCTCCAACGAGAGAAAAATGGGAATTGGAGATGCCATTCTTGGGTTTCTGTCCAGCTGAGCCCCTTGGAGGAAGATAAATAGGCAGCTCCCACGGCCAGAGACCGAATACCGAAGATGTGTTTAGATGCTCTGGTGTGTTAATGGTTTTCCAATGTCTTAAGAACTTATCCCTGCTTGGAATGGATAAGATCTCTATGTGG